CCCACATCACTAATTATCAGAGAAATGCAAATAAAAACCACAATAAGATATCACCTCATACCAGTTAGGATGGCCAGTATCAAAAAGACTAAGAACAACAAATGCTCAGGAGGATGTGAAGAAGGGGGAACCCTCCTACACTGCTGGTGGGAACGTAAGCTAGTTCAACCATTGCTGAAAGCAATATGGAGGTTCCTCAAAAAACTAAAAATGGAAACACCATTTGACCCAGGAATTCTACTCCTAGGAATTTACCCAAAGAATATAATTTCTCAGATTCAGAAAGACATATGCACCCCTATGTTTATTGCAGCACTATTTACAGTAGTCAAGATATGGAAGCAACCTAAGTGTCCATAAGTAGATGAATGGATAAAGAAGATATGGTACATATACACAATGGAATACTATTCAGCCATAAGAAAGAAACAAATCCTACCATTTGCAACAAAATGGATGGAGCTGCAGGATATTATCTTCAGTGAAATAAGCCAGGTGGAGAAAGACAAGTACCAAATGATTTCCCTCATTTGTGGAGTAAAACAATGAAGCAAAACTGAAGGAACAAAACAGCAGCAGACTCACAGACTCCAAGGAGGGACTGGCAGTTACCAAAGGGGAGGGGTGGGGGAAGGCAGGGAGGGAGGGAGGGAGAAGGGGACTGAGGGGTATTACGATTGGCACACATAGTATGTGGGGGATCATGGGAAGACACTGTAACACAGAGGAGACAAGTAGTGACTATGGCATCTTACTACGCTGACAGGCAGTGACTGTAATGGGGCATGGGAGGGACACGATAACATGGGTGAATGTAGTGACCACATTGGTTTTTCATGTGAAACCTTCGTAAGTGTATATCAATAATACCTTACTTAAAAAAAGAGAAATACATTAAATTCACAAATATAATTTGAAATGTTTAAGGGAACTTAGCCATATTATAGAAGCTCCTTTAAAATTTGCTAGATTTATAAATGGACTTGTAGCTTAAGAAAAAATGTATAATATTTTAATAAATCAAGTATTAATCCTAAAAAGAAAGCACACAAAAAACTATGCTATAAATGGACTATTATTCTGTATTATTTTTAGATCTCTATTGTCTCTCAAACAAGTTCAATAATTTTTCATAAATAATTAAAGAACTTGACTTAGAATTTCAAGCTTTCCTGTTTTAAAACTAAATGCAAAATGAAGGGAAGGAGGAAGCAGAAAGAAAAACAGATAGAAATGAAAAGAGAGCAAGAGAAAGAGACCAGTAAGGAGAGGCTAGCTTGTGGAGTCCCAATAGCACTGTTTAAATCTATAGATCCAACAATGCTGGAAATCAGCATTTTTTAGCTTCTTGGGCATTGAGCCAATAAATATCCTGTCTTAAGTTACTTTAAACTTGGGTAAAGTATTTCTGTTACTTTGAGAGCCCTGGGTTAACAGTAAATAAGAGTATCTGAAATGTTATTAAACTAATATCTGAAATACACATTAATGTTAACAGTTTTGGGAGTCAGTGGATTTTTACTTCCTGTATTCTGTACTCTTTTTTAGTAAAACAATTAAAAATTGAGTATGTATTATTTCTACAACAAAAATTTTATCCAAATTTTTGGGGAAAAAACTGAATTAGATAAATGTCGAAAAGGAGGAGAAAAATATAAAGAAGGTATTAAAGAGAATGAAACAATTCTAACTAGCCTTTAATGTGTGATGCATTTGAAAACATAACTTCTTCATTAACGTTTTCCAT